AGGTTTAAAATAAGGGGCTTTAAAATATTCAGAGAAAGCGAGTGTTGTTTTTTTTTTGTGTAGTGGAATGACCAGGGACACAGTAGTATGAATTTTGCTAGTTTGCCTCAGGTAGCTTTTATTATAATAAATAAATTAGAATTGCCACCTCTAAAGGGCCAGATGGCTGTCAATTAGATTATTTCATGTGAGCCCTTGATTTCTTCAGTAGGAGGATCAGTGCATCGCAACAGAAATTTGAGCTGCTCCAAAGTGAAGAAGTTTGAGTAACAGCAGTGCATGTAACCAAGACATTTAAAGTAATCACGGATGTTTCTGTACTGCAGTGCAGCAGGCAGGATAAAACTTGGCTTGCCACATTTATTCATGATCTTCAGTGTATGTTTGCATCGGAAAAGCTGTGTGGCTTTTCCTTCTAATAAATGAATGCATAGTTCATTGGAAAGTAGAATCGTATTCTGGTTTGCTGTGCATGTAGATCAGCAAGTTGAAGCAAGTTTTATTAATTTCCTACCTAAATGTTTGACTGCTTACTTCTTCTTAAAAATCAATCAAACAAAAGAAATTGCTATTTTGCTTTCTTGTGTACTAAGAAGATAGGACTATCTAGGCATATTATTTAGGCTGTGGTTCCAATTCATAATCCGCTTGAAAAAAAATGATTTCTTAGGTTTAAATTGTGTATTTATAAATAAAACTGGAAAAATAATCCCACTTGTTCAGTATTTTGCCCTTTTGTGGGGGAAAAAAATTAAAATTTTATTTATAGCTTCTTACTCTAACTAGATGTCATGCTTTATTATGTTTCTAAGATGTTAATAAGTTATCAAGTGCCAAGAATATATTGAAACATTTGTGTAAAAGAAGAAAATAAACTAAACTAAAAATATTAATAATAAAGAAATTATTTCAGAAATTCTTTTAGATTTTTCTCCATTTGGAAATTGTGTCCTAAATGGTGTAAAAGCATATGCTGTGCGTGCTGAAAAGTGATGACAGCACTGTAAGTAAAGTTTAAACAGTATAGTTATTTCTGATTTTTCCCCTCACAGCTTTTTTTTATTTTTTTGAAAACATCTTTTGGCAGAGAGTGCACATTATTACTGGCATTCAAACTATCCACAGTCAACCCTCTTTTTTTTTTCCCTGTCAAAAAATTACATTTCTCCTCTTACTTAATGAGTAAACCCAAGAATGTTTTGGACCATGTTATTTACAAATTCCCCTTTCCTCGAGGCAGCAGAGATTTAATTCCCATGGCTGCTGGGGGCATCCTTACAGCCCTCCTGCTGCGGGTGAAATTATGATTGCACCTTTGGGGATCAAGTCGTTTAGACAAACTACGGACTTGTGGCCTGCTCACCACGTGTAACTTGCCTTCTTCTCCACTCCCAGTGTCTGAGCAGTGAATCCGATCACAAGCTAATCTGTTTGGTGATGATAATATATGGAGAGGGAGTATGTTTTCAGGAAGGTTTTTTTATTTCAGGTCGGTTTTCTGCATGAGCACGGGAGGGAAGATGAGGAGATAGTGAATGGGGGCCACTGATAGGGCACTGCTGCCGGAGTAACGCATGTGTCACTGCAGCCAAAGTGTTGACATCTTCTGATCTCTGGAGGCATCCTGGCATCCAGCCGAGAGCTCGAGAAGGCAACTAGAGTTGACTGTAATTATTAGCAGTGGAGTGGACTTATTTTAAGGTGTTTACAGTAAGAAAGGGATGGGGATGTGTAAGGTTGAACTGTCCAGGCTAATAAAAATCACCAGTGTGAAAAAAAGGGTTCAGGAAAATTGCTGCAGAAAGGTATGTTATTGCTGTTTAAACAAAAAAGCAAACCCCACCACTTTTCAACCTGGAAAGTTGAGAGAGAAATGCTGATAAGTTTTAAATTTCTATAAGATCATTAAAAATGCACTTAAATTCTACCAGTTAAATAAGATGTTGGCGTTTAGATTCTTCTGGTTCCACTCAGGTTCTAAAAAGATGCACTAAACTTTCATTTCATATTTATTAAATGCTTGATTTCTTTTGTGAGACGAAAGATAGATATTTAAGACTAATTGTTAATTTACATAAGATTTTTTTTTTAAGCTGCATGAACTTTGCTGTTGACTTTACTTAAAATATAGATGATCTAATTTCATTACCTGAAAAAATTTTTAATAAAATCATACTCCTATCAAATTAAACACAACCTTGAAGTCAGAGAGATTTATGTAGGATCGGGATTTTAAATGTCTGAAATGCCAGAATTAAGGAGGTTTTTTCACAGGGTTGTATTTCTTTTAATCAAGTGTTTATAGAGAGTAGTTCTTTGTGAAGCTCAGAGTTATTTTCACAAAACGAAGAGAACTGCCTGGTGGTGACCTCTCCTAAATGAGCAATTCAGGGTTATCAAATCAGACAGCAAGGGACTGGAGGAACCAAGGATCACACAGGGTACAGCCATTACCCATTAGTATAACTCCACATTAATTTTAAATTGAATTTTTAAAACCTAATTGAGCAGCATTTTCAAGCTCTGTTCAGTGTGAGCAGGACATAAATTGAAACAGTATGTACCAGGAACCCTTAATAAGCAGAGAGCACTGCTGCCTTTCTTCCCTCTCCTTTAAAATCAGTAGTAATGCCCTGACATTAAAAAGAAGAATTTAATTAAGAGATCGTGACAGTGCATCTGAACTCTGACTGGCTAATGGCTTACCAGTGTAAGGGATATATGCTGAAATGAATGGAGGATATTTTCTTTAACATTCAGTTTTAGATGAGAACTCTTTTCTGTTTGAACTTTTCATCATTTTAGTGATGGAAAAATATTTTAATGGATAAGCTGTACATGAAGAAAGACTTTGAAAATGTAGTTGTGCAGTTGGATTACCAAGAAACAAATTCTAATACACAGAAATTAGAGCAACTGCTTCAAGCCTTGTAAGATAATGTGGTAGGAAATCACTGATGTAAATAGAAAAGAAAATCCTAGGTGTTGTTGATCTAGAACTGTGAAGCTTGTTACATTTATTTTGATTAATTTCTCTGAAAGTGCATTAATATTTCGTTTTAAGTAAGAACCCAATTCACTTTGTTTCTCAACATGAAGCATGCAGATGAGCTTAAGTAAGCAAGTTCTGAGCTTCAGAGTGTAAATTATTTTGTATAGCAAGCTTGGATGTGCTTCTCTGCTGCAGACTAAGCGCTTGGCATTCCAATTTAAAGAGATTATTGAAAGAGAGTCCTTTATTTTAGAAAACTCTCTAATATTTATTTTTCCCTTCATAGCAGAGCAAGAATGACTGCATTATATAGGTTACTTGTCAAGTCTGAAAATCATCCCTGTGATAAGCAGGCTTGTGTTGGTTATGGGAGGATGGCAGTTGTAGGGAGAAGCAATGAGAGTAGCTTTTGGAAGTGTCTCATGTGCCATTTTTTTTCGGAGATCTGTTTTCATTCTTGGTATCTCATTGTTCTTTCTGTCCCAGCCCTGCAAACAGAGCTTATCCCTGGGGAGTCACTCCCTGTTCCTCAGGGGAAACTAGATGGTGTCTTCTTGAAGTGAGAAAGTCACACCAATAAACCTGATGTTGTTAAAGGTGATGGCATGGTCTTTGTAGTGGAATAAGAGTGACTGAAATCTGCCTGGTTGGTATAAATGAAATTCATCTGTTTAAACATTTTAATAGTTAAAATGAATGCTTGTTTTGGTGAGTTTGAAGTGGTACTGAAACCCTGGCTAATTATCACAAAACTCTTTAGAAAGACTAACCTAAGATGCTAAAATGACAAAGGGTAGTTGTAGAATGGAGAGTTTGTCTCTACTGTGACAGGAGGCTGGCTGATATACACATACAGCATTAACTCATTTCCTTTTTCTCCTCTTTGTGTTTTGCCCCAGGCTTTCAGGTTATTAAATTCTGTGGCTCGGCAGTAGCACTTCTGGTGTTAGAAAGCTTGGAGTTTAAGACCTCGATGAAGTTTCTCATTCCAGGGGTTGATTAGAGCTAAAAATGTCCACAGAGGTCACATTTTGCTGTGTATCGAGGAGAATGGATGGTTATAAGCAAATGCTGGCAGCTTTCTAGGGACTGAGCAATGCTGGGTGATCAGAAACTATCCTGGTCAGGGAATAACATGCAATTGATCCTTGGGAGAGAGCAGTGACATCACTTGTTCATTTGGTGCGTGTTTCTGGGGTTGTTTTTAATGACTTTTGGTGGAGGGTCTGTTTTTCTATTGAAATCAAAATTGAACATTTAATGTGAATGATTACAAGAAAAAAGGATCCCACAAGAGCTCAGACTATTTCTACCTTACTGACCTTTCACCCTACCCCACAGCTCCACACAGATTAAATTTTTCAGTGATTTGTGGTAGCTATGATTTTTTAAGAACTCTTTAAGCTCCTTCCTTTAAATGAGATCTGTGTTATTCCTCTTTTAGCTTCCTGCCCTCCACCTTCTATTTCAGCTAGCTTTAGATGGATAGGTGGTGCTTAGTATAACAAAGGTAAAATTTTAGAAGGTATTGAACTTGGACAGATAAAAAGTAGCATTAAAAAGGAAACATTGGTTGGTTGCTGGAAAAGCTGTTGAAAACCTGTGAAATCCCTCAATGCCAGATTTGTTTAAATACTTCTTACAATATACCCAGTGTATCTGTTATATATCTCCTTAAAGTTGAATGAATTTTCTTAAAAGTACAACTGCTACTGCTGGGCTCCCCAGGATGATTCCAGCTATGAGGCAGTGGCAGTTGAGTATGTTGTGGTCATGTTTTGTGCCAGTGCAAGATCCTGGCGGTGCTTTTCACCCTCAAACTTTATTCTGAAACGCGTTTGAGTACTGCTTGTTTCTTGATGGGACCGCAGTACCGAGCTTTTCTACCATGGAAATGCAGCATGGGCTGAATGCATTTGAGGTTTTGTTTTGTGTGTATTCTTTGTACGATGATAATGAAATGTCTTTTATATCCTTGTAACTCTGCCTTGGTTACTCTTATTTTCAGAGAAGAAACGGGGAAGATATTCCAGTTGCTCAGACTAAAAATATCAATCATAGAAGATTTGCTGCTACCTTTAAGTTACAAGAGGTGACAAAAACTGACCAGGATTTATATCGCTGTGTAACTCAGTCAGAGAGAGGTTCTGGAGTGTCAAATTTTGCTCAACTTATTGTTCGAGGTAACGTTTTAATTGCTTTCATTTTATCCAGTTAAATGCTCCTAATACCAGTGCTTTCTACTTACACATTTTAATTAGCCTGCATATGCCTTGATCTGAAACGATCATACAAAGGTAGCCCTGTGAAATTGTCATAAAATGAAAGAGTGGTTTGCAAAGCTTCTTACAATTGCTTTCTACAGAATACATCTGTGTAAAACCCTGTTCCTGCATAACATTAAGTGTAATGTTCCTGCCTGGTTTTCTGTGGATGCTATTTTTTGAGCTTAAGGTGCAAACTGCTTAACTTCTAATAAATAATTTTACAGGTATGAGATTCCACTATACTTAGTTGCCATTCCCTTTTAAAATCTGTTGCTTTGGGCAGACCAGTAGTGTAGATCAAATAATTAATTTTTCTGTTATCTGGGAGACAGGTGTATAGAAAGAGTTGTGAAGTTTCACCTACTGGCAGACTGGGAGCATTGTGGAGATGTTCTGTGATGATTTCCGGTACAGAAGTAGGAGGAATAAAAAGTAAAAAACTTGCTTTTTCCACTTGTAATACTGTTTTTTTAGTTGTAATTCATTCGGAAGCAACCATACATTGTGTATGGTGCTATTTGGGTTAGTGATTTTTGTATTTATGCATTTTGTGTTCTGGAAGCATGTAATATCAACTGGCAAAGGATATGGTTGAGCACAGGAGTTCAGTTTTAATTTCCAAATGTGTGTGCTGTATGAACTAAGATAAGCTATTGAACCTCTCCTTACCTAATTGTGTCACCTGCAAAATTGCCCATTTCATTCTTAGTTGTGATGAGGCTTAATGTTTTTTAAGTGGGAAAAAGAAGTGGTGTACAAAATCTGCCTGTGGTGCTGCTGGCTAGTGGAGGAGCTGTTTTGGCCCAGTAAGTGCAGGGGTCAGACACACAATTGGGCTCCTGCTTGATTCATTTGAGGAGTGGCTGAGGACGCTTGGTCTGTTTAGCCTGGAGGAGACTGAGGGGAGATCTCAACACAGTCTACAACTTCATCATGAGAGGAAGAGGAGGGGCAGGCACTGATCTCTTCTCTATGGTGACCAGTGACAGTACCCAAGGGAATGGCTTGAAGTTGTGTCAGGGGAGGTTTAGGTTGGATGTTTGAAAAAGATTCTTCATCCAGAAGATGGCTGGGCACTGGAACAGGCTCCCCAGGGAACTTGTCACAGCACCAAATTGGCCAGAGTTCAGAAATTGTTTGGATGATACTCTCAGGTACATGATGTGTGGCATCTTGGGGATGGTCCTGTGCAGGGCTAAGGATTGGACATTGGTCCTTGTGGGTCTCTTCCAACTCAGCATATTCTGTGACTTTGTGATTCTGTGATTTGTTGGTCAAGCAATGGGCTGTTTGGTCAGTTCAGCATCTTGGAGTCAGACACTGCATCTGGAGCTGGAACAGAGAAAGCAAGTTTGTCCTCAGCTTATAGAAATAAAAGTAATGTAGAAGATGCTCCAACATATTTGGTATCTGGCATTTGCTGGCAGAGATCTTTTCCTTTGGAGATCAGTTGATTGAGGTCAACTAGGTTTTATACCTTCTATATAACATCAATAAACACAGGCTTTGCTGACCATACAAAGATTTAGACAATATAAGAGCTTCTTTTATTCTCTTAGATATACCAATTTTCTAGTAAAGTGCAGGATGGTCTTCGTCCTAATAAAATGAAATAAGTCCCGTTGCAACATGAAAACAGACTTTTGTTCTTAGAAACACAAGGCAAATCAATGTATTTATCCAATAAATGAAGTTTTCTGTTTTTTCTGGAATAATAGAGCAATGGTGTTTAGAACACTATTTCTCTCAAAAAAAAAATGAGGTAAGAATATAAATTTTCATAGTACCCTCATTTTAAATGCATCATATTGTCATGCTGGAAAACATAGGTAATTCCAGAGATAATACTATATTTATGGCTTAAAACATAAATATTATATCTATATCTATATATAACAGCTATATAGGTTTGTATTTTACAGGTAATTTTACTTTTTGTGTGCTTTTTGGTTTGGAAGTCCAAGAATTTTAAATATATATATATATATATAAACTAAAATATTAACCTTCCAAAAATATTTTCATCTGTTTGACAACATGGTAGAGAACAAAGATATGCATCTTATACTAGGATTTATTGCTTGCTCTTGTATTTGAAAAGCAATATACAGTAATACATTTTCTTGTTTGTCTGGATAACCACTAAATAAATCTTGTTAGCCAAAAAAGCATACCCATACCCTTAGGGATCAGCTACCCTGGTGTTAAAACTGTACTGAAAATTAACCATAATGACAGGTCCTATATCTCAGTGGCACTTTAAAGCTGACATCCTGCTACATGGATACAAAAGATGATAATTTTAAAGGAAATTTTTGGGCCACTGATATGAATTGCCTTTAATAAGAGCTGGCATAGTATTGCCCATTGTCAAAGATGACCCAGGGGGAAGAGTTTATTAGTGCATTTCCTTCTAAACTGGAAGTGACAGAGCATGCTTGGGGGCCTTTTGTTGCTGTTTGTAACAAATGAAAATTTTGCTGCAGAATTCTCATGCTGAAGAGTATTGATCTGTGTGTTCTCACAGCCAGAGGAGGGGAAAAAAACCACAAAACACAAATTACTTTGTCATGGCTTTAGTATTGCTTCCAGATAATTTTGAGTAACGATAAGGTCTTCGGTTTGTGGAAGCCAAACTTTATTGACAACGCTGGTTACTAGAGGGCAAGGGATGAGGAACAGGAGTTGTTGCCCGGTAAATCAAAACCTTGGTGTTTAGATGCGTAGCCAAGATGCTTACATATCCCACATCTATACAGACGTATATAGATGTAGAGGCATCTGATACTTTCCTAATCAGCAGACTAGAAGTTAGTCTTGGTAATGAAAATTTCCAGTTATAATGTACATTATGTTGAAACATCACTATTTCATTTTGAGCTTTAACAGAAGAATTGCTTCTAGTGGAGTTCTAAACTCTGTTACAAATGTAGTTACCTGGGAGGGATGGTATACATTTAAAGACCCTGAAAGGCATAACTCAATTACTCTGATTAGTTTTTTAAAGAAGAATTGAGCTAGGATAGGATTTGTAATTCAATTATGAGATTTTTACCAAAAGTAGTTCCATCAATGATTTAATGTCTCACCTTTGCTTAGATCTGGTCTTCAACTCCAAGCTCAATGGCTGCATTGTATTGATTTTTTTTTACATGGTTTCTATGGCATTGCTGTCATTCTGGGAGACATGAAGAAGGAGTTCTCCCTTTCCCCTTTCTTTTACAGGAAATTTGGTGCTGTTATTACTTTTATTTGACTTTACCCTCCTGAATAGGTCCATCTGATTAATTGTCTATTTATATTTTCCCTTGTTGGCTGAGAAATTGGCAATTTCTGTGAAGGGATTTTGTTGTAGTCTTTAGGGTTGAATGCACTGGAACTCGAAGGAGGGACTGGGAGGGAGGAACAGTATCTGTGATAGGTAAGTAAGAGTGAACAGGAAGACACTGACAGTTTCTTTCTTTTTGCTTATTTCTTACTTGGTTTTGAGAACAAGTATATCATGGTCTCAAAGTCTTTCTGCTCACTTTGCTACTTAAGGTGGACTTGTAGAAATTATGTTTCCAAAGAGGTCATCTGTGCCCCGCTCATGTGTATACTTGATGTATAAAATTGTGTAGACTTTCCAAGTTACGGTATCAAATGTCCTGATCTTCAATCAGTTGAGAACTTTGCCCCATAATCAGCACTTGTACAGTTTCATTGTTCAAATCTCTTAAAAATGTAGTGGAATATTTCTCTGTAGTTGGCAGTATGTGCCAGAAAAGTTATCCTATGCATCAAGAAACCAGGCAGTGTCCAGCAGCTGTGATCAACTTCTTAGTTGATGTGACATGTTAAAAGTGGCTCTCAGATGGAGATGCAACTGATGTTGCATTCTTATGTGGTTAGTTAGCAAAACTTTGTAAAATAATCCAAATTCAGTTTGTCTCCATTTGGAATGCCTTACTCTTGGGCAGTCCTGCAGGGATGATGAACAAATTAACCATTTTCTTTGGCTGAAGGATACAGATGATGTCTCTTTTTTTTTTTTTTTTCATGGAATAGCAATTTGTTTCTCTGATTGTCCAAAAAAAAAAAAAAAGGCAAGCCACCCTCTTAAATATGAATTACACTTTATGTGCAGTGTTTGTATGCTTCCCAAGTTTGTTTTCCTTTAAATGCTACACATTGTTAGCAAACTAATTGTATGAGACTTGATATTATGATATTAAATGCTACGAAATAAGCAGGAAATGTGATGCATTTTATTTTACATAGTGGATCTTACATAGATGAGTTGGAAAAAAATATTTGTTAGTGTTAAAGACAAGATAGAAAAATAAAGGGAAAAAAGCTCAAAATGTATGAATAAATGCAATATTTGTTAATAATCTGTAAATAATTCTATCATATATTTGATTCTACTGATAAGTTTATAAGTTTTATCTGAGTCATAAATTGGTATTTTTTATGTTTTTGCTAGGTGAATTTTTTTCTTTTTAACATTTCTTTGTCCAACCCAAATAGGTCTTCTGTGATGGTGTTAAGCAGGGGAGGTCTACACCTTATAGTTCCAATATGGAATTGTCTTCATGTGCCTGGTAAATCCAGTTTAACAACAGAAAAGAAAGGCAGTTTTCCTCTACTGTCTTCTGACTGTTCTTCCGGTAATCATAGGTTCTGGTGAACTGACCTATTTGTAGGAGTTTATGAATATGATTGTTTCTTCTATTTGATTTGATATGGCAAGCAACCATCAGGTTCAAGTTTTGGTGGAGTTTGTGATTATGTTCTTCTTTGTTTGCCTTACTGGACCTAGTTTGTCATCAAGAGCAGTTCTTGTTATGCAAACCTGGCAGTGATTTTTCTGCCTTTTTCTTCTGAAATCCTTTTAGGGATTTTGTATAGGAAAGCCAGCAATTTGGCTGGTTCCC